TAACCCTTAAGCATGTGAGACAATTAAATAAATCCAAACTTCACAAAGCATTTTGCAGCACTATAGGAACCCTCACAACAAAGATATGAGAGGCAAAATTACACAGCCACAGAAGAAAACTCGGGTACCCTGAACTTCAGAAGGAAGGTTCGCCAGGTGGATGGAGTGTCTGCGGGGAGGAGAGGCCCAGGAGGGATGAGGACAGGGAGCCTGGAGAATAGCAGGCCACATGCGGCTCAACCATCTTGGGAGTAGCTTTGGCCGTGGAGGGAGACCTGACAGGGCAGATTTACGTGACAGGAAAGGTGCCATTTCTTCTTTATCCCCATGTTCTCTGGTGAGCAGACGTATGGCTAACTCCCACCTTCGGGAGTTTGGAGTTCTGCGGTGGGGAGCCACACCAGAGTGTGGTGTGCCACTCTGGTACCTGGATCCGGGTGGGCTCAGGTCAAGACCTACAAAACCCACAGAGCCACCAGGCCAGCATTTAACCAGTCACCATGCCTCCAGCGTCCCTGTGGTCCTAACAGACACTGAAATTAGCTACTCTTGCTTCTGGATTGAGTGCCCAGAATATAGATAAAACCAAGGCCAACAGGAACTCCATCTAGGGCCAGGGACTCTGTTGTCACATCCCTTCCAAAATCCCGTGAGCTCCTTGAACTGCAGGAGTCCCCAACCCCATGAGCTTGCTCCCCTCTGGGTCCCACAACTACACAGTTTGCTTTTACAAATACGACAACTTCACAGTGCCCTGGAGACAACAGACAATTTTAGCTGACACAAAGTAACAAGAGGATGATTCAACCAAAAGCTCAAGATGCAGAGCCAGAAAATGTTTCTGAGGAAGAAAAGGTCATGGAACTAACTGAAAGAGAACTCAAGAGAGTAATAATTGGGTGCCTTCAAAGGACTGACAGAAAGATGGAGGAAAGCAAGGAGAATACAATGAAAACTAAAACCAAAAATTCAGGGAAACACTATAAGAACATACAAGAAAACTCCAAAATAAATGCAAATTTGAAACAACAAAAAGCCTGCAATTAGAAATCCAGAACGTTAATACTAAAATCTCAGAAATGGACACTACATTGCAAGGGCAAAGGAGTAAATACGAAGCAATGGCAGGCCGAATTCGTGAGCTTGAAGAGAAATCTCTCAAGTGTAGTGTGCTAGAAGAACAATCAGAAAAAAGAATGAAAAACTCCAAAGAAAGCCTAACAGTTCTGTGGGACACCATGAAGAGGAAGAATTTACAGGTGACTGGAATTCCAGAACGGGAAGGGACAAGTTACTGAGAAAATTACTGAAAGAGATGTTGGAAGAAAACTTCCCTAACATCATGAGAAGATAAACATACAAGAAGCTGAGCGTTTGAACTGCGGAATTTTCTGATCAAACCATCTTGCTGTCCCATGCTTGTGCTCATCCTACAGTTTCCTCTAAACTTCTTTCAGCCTGGAAATCGAACCGGGGTCTCAAGAATGAGGGTGGGGGGGCATTATACCGAGTGAAATTAATCACAAAAGAACATTGTATAAGACCAAGGTAAAAAAAGTTTTTCTTGATAAAAGAAACAATCTATGATGGTTGGGGGTTCAAAGGAGAAAGGGAAAATTATTCATGGGCTAGAGTATGAACACACATTAACATGGGCAAAAGGGCAGGCAATATACGAGGGAGGTCAGCAGAGGAAAGATGAAGGTGGCAGGAGACACAGAGAGCAATGGAGTGGTTAAAGTGAAGAGAGGTACATGCTGTTCTGTGGGTACATGGAGGGGATTCCAGTCTGGTTGCTAATCTCAAGGTCAGCAGTTCGAAACTCCCAGCAGTTCTGTAGGAGAACGTTGAGGCTTTCTGCTTCCCTAAAGATTTACAGCCTCAGAAACCCTGTACAGGGTCGCTATGAGTCAGAACCGTCTCTAATGGCACATACCTACCACCACTATCACCACCAGTGAAACAGTGTCTGGTTTGTTGAATGTAAAAACCGATGATCTGTTCTGTCAACCTTCACTGGATTCACAATAAAAAGTTAAAAAAACAAAAAAGGCATTTTGCAAACAACGCTATACAAAAAAGTGAGAAGTATAAAGAATCACAAAGGAAACGTATGAAAGGTTACAGACAAAATTATAGTGGACTTCTTTAATTTTGACAAAACTAACTTTCTAAACAAATTTCACATTCTTATACTCTCAATATTTCACTTTTAAAAAAATATGACAAGACATCTGGACGCCAAGTTTTCAGGCATGACAATAAAATAGTACCAAACTTTGAAGTTATATAAGCTTGCTGCATTTTACACACCATACAATTGGACACAACTGTAACATTTACGAGTTTCAAGTGCACCTGTAAGGAACACAGACATATGTACTAGAGTTTTTTAACCACACAACTTTTAGATCAATATATGACTTTCCGTTAATGATAGGCACAACTCTCTTACACAAACCATTAGCTTTTCATTATCTCTTGATTTTGAAATGGACAAATCCTAGGAATGTCGAGTTAGGTAGCTGACAATGTTAAGTGACTGCACACAATCACCACATAACAATGAATGTTACAAGTAGTTTCCTTCAGGAATGATTTTTAAACGGTTAAAGTATATTTTAATGCAAAAGTGACAGGCTTTCATGTGAAAAGCAAGGAAATATTGACTCAAGGGGTACAGATCTAGGAATTGATAGCTTTTTGTGTAATTAGTTACTAACATGCACATTTCAGAGATTACTGCTGACTCTTCCCTAGAACATGCAGGTGGTTCGGAAGCTTCTGTTTATCGCTTCCCTTAGCTTGATAGGCCAATGCAGTTTAAGATTCCTCACTGTAAAGTTAGAGCTTATTCTGCGCTTGACTCAGCTAATATTAGTGCATGATTTCAGAACCAAGGAGTTTTTCATCTTCAAGGAACTCAGTTTTTATATAAACTTAGACTGCTTATCTAGTACACAGGCAACAGTTTCGTAATTCTAAAGTAAAGGCACATAAATAGGAAACTTTTAATGTATTTTACGTGGTTTTGTTTTTTTCTTTCCATTCATCTTTAAATACATTCAGCTGCCATCTGTAGAAAGGCATGTCACACTGGTCACAAATTTGACTTTTGGGAAATGAACATTCCAAGGACACTAAATGCTGCAGCCGGGTGTAAGTCTGATCTGGGTTCACTCCCTTGGCCGCTGTTCCATTTTCTACTTTATCTCTGCAGGCTATAGGCTGTAGGTAATTATGTTCTAGCAATTATGAGACCAAAAAGGCTCAGGGATAAGGACTGGTTCAAATTAGTCCCTCACAAAAGTTGTTTATAATCTTGTTATAAACTGATTTAATATGTTTGTGAGTTATTTATTAAAGGAGTAGTAAAGCCATTTAGCCTAACACCTATGAATGAAATGTAATTACCAGCCCACACTTAAACAAGTCTTTAATTAATAGTGGGCGGTACATTTCATTTATATACAAAGGGATTCAATAGTGAGCAGCATGTAAGAAGAGACACAGTCTCTCTCTTCCTGTGTATACAGTGAGTGCGATCTTTAACTGGGTCCATTTACCACCCAGCCTTTCACTAACATTATCAGATATCTCTCATCGAGTCAGGGAAAAGCTGTATATTTAAAGCATATCTCATTTTAAATGTTTGCAAAATTTGCTATAAAGTACAGAGACTATGTATGTATTTTACTAGCAAAATAAAGTGTACCATAAGTGAAATTCACTGTTGATTTAACAATTACTTCACAGAAGCATAGCATAGGCGTACTAGCATTTATGCCAATTTTACTGTCTAAGCCAGAAATGGTTTCTGTACGCAAGTCAACTCTTGTTGTTGTTGTTATATGCCGTGGAGTCGGAACCGACTCATAGCGACCCTATGAAGTCAACTCTAAGCACCATCAAATATGGTCAAGCTGAACAGAACCAATGGTTATAAGACTCCCAGAGTAAAACTCTGGCCAACTTAAGACTTTCAGAACAGCAAAATAAGTCAGGCAAATCGAACAGGAGGCAATGTTTTGTTTAAGTGTACTGCAGAACGCCGAGTGTTCTTTTTAAATAACAAAATCGTATAGTGGTTATGTGCCGTGGAGTCAGTTCTGACTCATAGCAACCCTGTACAGGGTTTCTGAGGCTGTAAATCTTTATGAAAGCAGAAAGCCTCATCTTTCTCCTGCTGAACAGCTGGTAGTTTCAAACTGCTGACCGTGAGGTTCGCAGCGCAATTCGTAAGTACTACGCTAATGGTATAGTAATTAATAATGTAACTTAATATCAAGTGAAGTGGTATTACAGACAGTTAAACAGAAACCAGGCTACCTATTTACTCAAAAGGAAATGTGTTTTTTTTCCAGATCAGATAAAAACTGAAATAGTATTTAAGAAAAGTTGTACTGTTACTTAAGTTATTGATACAGATTTCCACTTTTACTCACATTATTCTAACTAGTACTTTTGCATTTCTACTCTGAGGAGACTTTCAGCAGTACCATAATAATTACACGCAATTAGTCAATGAACAGGGCAGCAAGTCGTTTTGTTCACACCTACAAATACAATCATTTTCATTACAACTCGCTGTTCTTGTTGCGTTTGGAAAAGTAGCCAACTTTTAAGGACAACAACATTAAAAGAAAATGTCTTTACTTTGCATGACACCAGGCAATAATTAAAGCAAAGACCACTAACCATCCCCCTAATTTAGAGACATTTCTAGTCTTTAGAAACAGAGACTCCAAGGCAGAAGGGAAGAGAGAGGTGAAATAAGGCCTGGGTCGAGGCTTGAGGCTCCAAGAGAAAGCACTCTTCTCCCAGGATGCTAACCTGAAGACACGGCTCGGCCGGAGAACACCTCAGTACCTGTCCCACCTGCTCCAACCCGGAAGTACAGAGAACAGAACTTAGGCTCAGTCTTACTCTGCTCTCACTGCCTCGATTTCTAGTCCTGCACACAAATTAGCCTTATGATTTTCTAAGACAAAAAGTCTTTTTTACCCAAACACGTTGGACTTGGGTCTCAGTTTGAAGGATGAGGAGTGGCTTGTAAGAGATCGTTTCTCTTCCTCCTCCTCGAATGGGTGCTCCAGGTCCCTGAACGAAGGCGTGGTGTGGATGATCTGGGTTCGAAAGCGGATTTTGTTGAGTCTGGGTTTTAACCGCCCACTCGAGCTGCCTGAGGCTTTGCGACTTGAATCCTTCGCTTTGCCTCCAACCCATGCCTCAGCTTGGTGGTGGGAGTGGTGGTGGTGGGAGTGATGGTGGTCCCCTCCCTCCTCCAGCGCGTGTGAGAGTCTAGAGGTGATGAGATGCGAGAGCCTCCAGCGCCCACCCCCACTGCCGGCTGCACTCTCCGCATCGCCCTCCTCCCAGGCCCCCACCAGGTTCCTGATCTCCTCGGCGATGCTCTGATGGAGGTACTGCGAGGCCTTCTTCCCACTGTAGTCCCTGACGTCCACGTCGGCGTCGTACGCCCCTACTAGCAGCTTCACCACCTCCACGTGCCCGTGCATGGCCGCCAGGTGCAGGGCGGTGTAGCCCCCGCTGGTCCTGGCGTTGACGTTCACCGGCAGCTGGTGTTTGTTGGCGAAGTTCACCAGCATGGCCAGGAGCTCCTGCTTGCCGTGCTTGGCGGCCCAGTGCAGGCAGGTGAAGCCGGTGATGAAGTCCCGTTTGGCCAGCAGGCCGGGCTCGCAGGCCAGTAGCCCCTCCAGGCTGTCCCAGCGGCCGTCCGAGGCCGACAGCATCCAAGCGTGCTCCAGTGGGTCCAGCGTCACCGAGCCCCCGCCGCCGCTCTCTTCCTCCGCAGACGACGAAGCCAGGGAGGCGCTGTCCGAGTCCCCGCCACCTTTGGCGCGCCCTCCGCCGGCGACGCCCCCGGGGCTGCTGCCCCCAGGGAAGAAGCCCCTCTTCAGCTGCGGGGAACTGCCCATCACCAGGTCTCGGAAGTTCTTGCGGCCGGACCTCGGGGTGGTGGCTCCCCCGGGCGAGCAGCCTCCATCCGCCTCCTCCCAGCCGGGGGCCGGGGGCTCCAGCTCCTCGCCGGGCGCTGGCGGCGGTGCTCGGGGCAGGGGCTGCACGGTGGGTCGCGAGGTCTTCCGACCGAGCCCGGACACCTGCCCGGAGCGGGGCGGTTCCTCCGGAGGCTGCTCGGCGGGCTCGCTCTCTCCCGGCAGGCCCGGGTCCTCGGGGGTCCCCGGAGCGTCACCGCCGGGTTCGGGCTCCGAGCTCACCGAGATCTGAGGCGGGGCTGTGGGAAGGGCGCCGCCGTCGGGGGACCGTTCCGGCCCGGCCCCCGGCTCCCCCTGGGGGCTGGGAGGGCGCGGCGGGCCGGCTGCGGGCGGCTGGAGCCCCGCGCTGAACTTCTTCTTGAGGTGCACGTACTTGGCGCCATCGGCGGGGTCGGTGCGGACCGTGGCCACGGCGTTAACCAGCTGCTTGAAGTGCTCGCGGGCGCGGGCCCGCCGTTCGGGCTCGCCGCCCAGAGCGCCCTTGAAGTGCTCCAGCAGCTCGGCGTTGCGGACTCGGCCCCCGCGCTGGGCGAGGAAGCTCAGCACCGCCCCCTGGCTCAGCTCCGCCATCCCCTCCATCCTCGGCTCTGCTCGGGCTGGCGGGCGGCTCATCCCGGCCCCATCTCGGACACAGGGGCTTCGGCTCCGCTTCAAGAGGCTGGGTGTCCGCCGGGCGCTGGCTCCCCGGAGACCCGCCTTCCAACGCCCGGTTCGGCTCGGCGTCTGTGGCTGGAGGATGCAGCCAGCCGCTTCCACAACGCCCGCCGCGGACACGCCCCCGCCGCCCGGCCCGCGTCCGAGGCCCCGCCCCCGGCCCCGCCCCACTTCCGGTCTCCTCGGCCGGCCAGCAATCACTGCTCACTGGAGTCCGAGGCGGGCGGCGCGGGGGCGGGTTTGCGCTTCTCTTGTTTTCTCCCTGGCGTGTCCCCCGCCACCTACTGCCCCCGATATTGTTTTCATTCTTTAATACATGGAGGCCCCACAGTCAGTCTTAATGTGCGCTAACTGATTTGGAGCGTTTCGTGGCTCGCACCCGTCCGTCCCCGAGGCCGCTAGGTTTGACCCCTTCCATGCTCCGTACTGAGACGCGGGCTGACCCTCGCCTGGCGCA